GGGGGGGGGGGGCTTTACTCCTTGTTCTCCCTACCCAGACGCAGCAGGCCAAGTTCCTGACGTGGCAGTTTGATGGCGAGTACCGAGGAGATGACTGTACAGCCACTCTGACCCTGGGGAATCCCGACCTGATTGGGGAATCGGGTGAGGAACTGGGGCGGGGCGCTTTGCATCTTGGCTGCCCACTTGCTGATGTTGCCTCTGCCTTCTCATCGTCTGTACAGTTGAGGGATTAGAAACTTCTTGGGCAGGCTGGGGTGGGGGAGCAGGCCTGGATGCCGTCCCTGGGACCGACTCCATGTCTCCCCGCTACCCCGCAGTGATCATGGTGGCTCACTTCCTGCAGAGCCTCACCCATCGGCTGGTGCTGGGAGGAGAGCTAGTTTATCACCGGAGGCCAGGCGAAGAGGGCGCCATCTTGACACTGGCTGGGAAGTACTCGGGTACGGGGTGAGGAGGAATCGTGACGGGGGGGGGGGGGCGAGATTCTGAACTCGGTGAGGGTTGCTGGCCTGCGTCCTGCTACAATAACGCTCCTTGTCTCCCGCATTTTGGTTTTTACAGCGGTACACTGGGTAGCTACATTGAATGTGGGATCAGGTGGGGCCCATGCAAGTTATTACCACAGGGCCAACGAACAGGTGAGACAACCGATGCCGCCCCCGGCCCAGCAGGTCAGTGGGGAACTTGTGCCCCTGCGCACCTCCCCAGGCCCCGCTGCCCTGCGGCTCTGCCCTCCCACACGGCACAGATGTTTCACGCCTGCCTCCGTCTCCCTGAGCGCCCCCTCCCCGTCAGGACTCCTCCGGTCCTCACTGACGCAGGTCCTTCTCCCGTCCTTGCCCATGGTTCTCAGGTCCAGGTTGGAGTGGAATTTGAGGCCAACACAAGGCTACAAGACACAACCTTCTCCTTTGGTTACCACCTGACTCTGCCCCAGGCCAACATGGTATTTAGAGGTAAGGGTTATGAAGATGGCGTCCGGAGGTGCTGAGGGACTGGGCGGACAGAGGGAGGAGGGAAGCGTCCTTCTGACCTTGCTTCGGACCCCTGTCTCCAAGCCTGTGAAATAACCTCGTGTGTATCCTGCTCCCCAACAGGCTTGGTGGACAGTAACTGGTGTGTGGGTGCTGTGCTGGAGAAGAAGATGCCCCCCTTGCCTGTCACCCTAGCCCTTGGAGCCTTCCTCAATCACTGGCGCAACAGATTCCACTGTGGCTTCAGCATCACTGTGGGCTGAGGGGGTCCCAGAGCCAGCCCCCACAGACGCTGGAACCTCCAAGTCAGGTGCCCTAGGGCCAGAGACTAGGCCCCCTCTCCAGAGCCCACCTTGCCGAGTGACCTGTGGGTCCCAGGAGCAGAGTGGGGGACAGGACCGTGCCCTCCTCAGAACTGGAGCTGCCACAGGGGCAGCTGCTGAGGCAGTGGTGTGAGGCCCCCACCTCTGCCACTGGCCCCAGGCTCCTCTTCCCATGCTCTTGTGGCTCTGGACTAAGGGAGAAGGATTAAGGGGTGTGTCTGGCCAACTTTTCTCCCCTCACTAACCCCCTTCTTCGTTTCCCTATCGATTAAAGCTCCTAGGTTCTTCCTCCTCAGAGCAGAACAGTCTGCATGGGATTAGCTCCCTACCCTGTTTTCCATCCCAGAGTCTCCCAGGGCTGGGAAGAGGACGGCTGAAGGGCTAAATCTTTGACCTCAGAAAGTCCCCCCCGCCCCCATTCCCAGAAGGAGCTTCTTTACCTCTTAGCCCTGAGGCTTCCTCCTTCCCCATCTTCCATGCTTCCAGAGAACAACTCTGTCCCCGTGATCATCCCCCACCAACCCCGAGACTGCATGAAGAGGCAGTTATTGCTTTAGTCTTTCATTGCAACCACTGGGCTCCCTTTCTACTGGTTCCAGCCTCTGGCCCCAGCATTTTCCCCTTTCCAGTCCAACGTGTGAAGTTGGCTGGGCTGGGGAAGGAGGCAAGCTGGGGCCTCAGCTGCAGATCTCCTGGAGCAGTGGCATCATGGCGGACAGTCCCTGGATGTGCTGGATTTGGTACCCATATGCGTTGTTAATGCTCCGGAGCTCAGCCAACAGGCCCAGCAGCTTCGCATACAGAAACCTTTGGAGGAAGTAGTGGGGTCACCAGGGAAAGAGGAAAGTTAGGTAGCTGAGAGTCTTGTCTTGAGGTCTTGCTCCCCTGAACTTTCCCTCAGTGAAGCTAGGTCTGAACACTAGAGAAACTCATGCTCTGGTATGAAATATTTATCAAAAATTCCAAAGGTTCCCGAGGTCTTCTCTCACCATGCTGTTTTTCTTGAACCCAGAGGTCTGAGGGCCAAGTGTGAAGAAAGCCCCAAACTTGGTCAGAACTTCACCTGTGTGGAATCTGTGGATCTGGCCTTCTAGAGGAGGTTCTAGAAGGTGGGTGTGTTCTATGGTCTAAAGCATCCGTCTTCTGGCCAGACTGGCTCATTGAGGAACAAACGAGAACAAGCAGAGTGTACCTCAGAGCCTGGATAGATCATGGACTGTTGAGCCAGGGACTGGCTTTGGCCATGAAACTGAATGACCATAATAACTTCAAGGGGGATGAAAAATTAAAGGAATGGGCCAATGGAGAGGAAGGGAAGGGCGAAGGAAAGAGAGCAAATGAGAATCTTGGAAGGCTGCTTTAGCCTGCAGAGTTGGATGGGTAAGGTGATGGATGCCATCAATCTCAGGAATGCTATTATACAGAGCCTGCGAGCTACTACTTTGCATCTCTACTGAATAAAAAAAAAAAAAAATCTGGAAAAAATCAGATGAAACAGCAGTAGGAGCGATTTGGATGCCAGAACCATATGAGGTGCGAGGGAAGGACTAGAGCCCCCAAGGGACCTGGTTTCCCAGAGGAAAGGACAGTAAAAGCATTCCTCCTGAGCTCAGCGTTTCCCTTGCCTTCCTGCCCCGGCGCAGCCTCCAAGCCCCCAGGCTCCCCCGTACCGATCCCGATGCCTTGGCGGCTGGCCTTTGATGTAGCTCTGCAGGGTCAGTGCCATCATCTCTTGCAGACGATCGATCTCCTCCTTCTGGGTAACCCCAGGCCTGTCTGTAGGACGGGGGAGGGGGGCGGGAAGGACAGGTGGGGAGCAGGCGTGGGCCTATAGCACAGCTGGACCCAGGCTGGGTTTGAAGCCAAAGCCCTGGCACAGAGGGATTCACAGGGCTGGGAGTTTGGGCAGAGGTGGAGGAGCAAAAGCTTCTGGGCCTTGGGGGATGCTCACCGGGAGAGAAGAGGGCCATGGCGGCCATGAGCACATACTCGGGCTCCTGGAGCTGGAATCGCCTCAATGTGGCATGGAAGCGAAAGAGCAACTCTAAAAACTCTTCCTGGAACCCCACTGCGGGAGATGCTAGCCTCAGGATCCTTCCGGTCACCCCGCCACAGACCGCTCGGCAAGGGCCGCGTACCCGCGGGCCTCACCGTGGACGCCGTCCTCCAGCGTGTAGCGGAGCGGCCCACAGAGGAAGTTTCGTGTTTGGAGGCAGAAAGTGGTATTGAGTGCGATATGGCAGATTTCAACCGCTGCTCCCTTGAGAAGGGAGATCTGGTCCTCCATGGGCAGGGACCTGTACGGAGCAGACAAGAGCATTTTAGGCTCTGCCCTGAACTTCAGAGAGGGAGAGGAGCTCCCAGTTCTGCTTGAGATACTTAAAACCGGAAGAGGGAATTCAAGACCTGGTGCTTGGAAAGGCTGCAAGATGGGTTTAGAGGGTCAGTGACTGTTTTTGGGGTGTGTGTGTGTGTGTGTGTGTGTGTGTGTGGTTATAATTTATTGGAGGGTTTTCCTCCTGAAAGGTAAGGGGAGGTCACGTACCGGAAGAGGGGCAGATCCTTGGTGAACTTGATGACTTGCTGTACCATGAAAGTGTTGACCTCTGCGAAGTGCTCGAGCAGAGGCAGTGGGGGGACTGGGATGGGCAGGCGCTGGTGGTGCATGAACAGATGAGCCGGCGGCTGCAGAGATCAGAGCCCGAGTGAGTGGCCCTGGCCCCAGGGGTCTCTCCAGCCCTCTCCTGGAAGAGTTCCGGGCCGAGGAGCCTGTCGACGGTGGGGTTCTGGGGAAGTCTCGTCCTCCGTATTGGGGCATGGCACACCCGCCCCCTCCCTCGGGTCAGCCTCCTCAGGCACCGCGTTGGTGCCCTTTCAGACCAAAGTCCATATAAAGTCTCACCCTGAACTGCACGAACTGGTCAAACATGGTGCCCACGTGGCGGGCGTGGGCCCCCAGGAGTGTCTGGACTAACTCTTGCTGCCCCTTGCTCAGCTGCACAGGTGCCCACTGTGCCCGCCGCTGGGCCTGCTTCGCCCGCCGCTGGGCCAGGGCTTCTGCCGACAGGATCACTGTGCCCAGGGAAGATGAAGGCCAGCGCCATTGAGACCCGCGGGGAGCACCTCTCTCTGCCAGCCCCCTGTCTGGGAGCCTTTGGGTACCATGAGCGATGAAGGATGTGGGGAGGGAGCAACATTCCTGCGGCCTCCTTGGGCGCGGCTGAAGTCCTAGAGGCCCCAGGGGGTAGGGGATCCCTGTCCACCCTCCCCAGCCCAGGAGGCCCCACCGCGGAAAACAAGGCACCAACTGGGGGGAAGGAGGGGTGTAGAGTAAAGCGGTCGCAGTGAAGGGAGATGTCTGGTTTCTGGGCAACCACTGAAGAGGGAGGGCTCTTGGTTCCTAAAGCATCACCTTCTGTTTACATAGCCCTATAACGTCAAGGGTTCTGAGGTTAAATCTCGCTGGATGAAACAACCCTATGGGTAGAGGGTAGTCAAGGCAGATGTTATTATCCAGATTTTTCAGATACATAAGCGGGCTGGCATTCTAGTGGCAGGCCCAAGGTCACAAAACACTAAAGTGATGCAAGCCAAGATTTTTTGACTCCTACAGTTTCCGCTGCTCCATATTGAAAAGTAGTGTGCTATCACAGGAAAGCAAGGGCTTGGGAGTCAGATAGAAGAGTCTGAACATGGACGTAGTAACTTTGATTCTGAGTGAGCTCCGGCACATTGACTTCTGTGAGCTCCGGTGACACGGTCTGTTGGGAGCATAGCCTAATTATGTGGCACAGAATAACGGCGTGCAATGATTCATTCAACAGTTATCAAGTACCTACTAAGTGACATGCACCTTATGCGAGAGACAGAAATTCAAGCCATGTGGTTATCTAGGGGAGGAGCAATCTGGTGGAGGGACTGGCAAGTGCAGAAGTCCCCAGGAAGGTGTGCTGGGTGTGCTTGAGGGTGTCACTGAAGTCAGTGTGGCTGTGAGTGATGGAGCAAGGCAGGAAGAGTAGGAGAGGAAATCTGGGGGGCTCTATGGGGGAGCTAGACCACGAGATCTCGGACTGTAAGAGAGGTGGGGAGCCCTTGGGGTTTTGAGCAGAATAGAAACATCATCTGACTTGTTTCCAAAAGCTTACTCCTCTTGTGTGGAGAATATGCTTTGGGAACGAGGGTAAAGCAGAGAGACCTAGTCAGTGGGTTCTTGTGTTGGTAGGGGGCCAACTCACTTTCCTTCTTCATGCCAGCATCTAGGCACTTCTGCAACCTGCAGGCTGGGCAGTGGCGCCTCTGGGCCTTGTTGACCTTACAGCTTCCAGCAAAGGGGCAGGTGAGACCAGTGTTTTTGCTGACTGTTCGTCTGTGAGAGATGGAGACGTCCGGGAGGGTGGTCGTGGATGGCAGTGAACAGGTGGCTATGTGAGAGGCTGAGACGACATGATCTACAAGGATGTGTGGGGACGTGGGCTAACCTGAGCTGTGCCCAAGGGTCCCTAAGGGTGGCTAGGGTACAACACATCTCGAGCATGGGGGCACAAGATCACTGGCTTGGTGCTTTGCAGGTAGTGAGTACAGAAGAAGCGCTCTTGACTAAGGGGTTGTGACCGCGGGGCAGACACAGCCTTCCCCCTATTATTCTATTTACGCACCTATTTATGAGATGTTGAGGTTGGCAAGATGTAGCATGCTAGCCACAGGGCAGTTAGGCTCCGAGAGGCAGGAGTAACACAGCTGGACAAGCTCGGGCATGTGCCACAGCTCAAAGACTGCCTGGTGGGCAGTTTGGGAGGTTGTTTCTCCTGGGGAGGAGGCTCTTACCTGAAGAAGCCCTTGCAGCCCTCACAAGTCAGGGCGTGGAAGTGATAACCGGTGGCTCGGTCCCCACATACCATACAGCTCCTCGGCTCATCCTCCCCACTGGCCATGGCTTCAGATGTTGCAATGGCCGTTGTAGGCCCCTGGATGTGGGAAGGGTTAGCGGTTAGCTGGAGGCCACCCTTGATGCTCTTCTCCCGCTTCTTTAGAACCTCTTCCCAAACCTGCCCTGGGCCTGACCGTCTGCATTGTCTGTACTTTATTGCTTTTAGTCTCTGGCCCCCAAAAGATTTCCTACCTGCTACTCTTAGGCCTGTCACCTGCAGGCCACGGAATCTGGTGTGGGCTGCCTCTCCCCAGACTTCCACTCTGCCCCTGCTTTCCCCTTGGTCTCAGGACCTGCCAGTGTTTGCAGTTAGGGATTATGGCCCTCTGTACCTGGAAAACAAGGAACTTCTGCTGTGTGTGGCCTCCAGTTGTTCTCAGCGACTACCTAGATAAGGCACAGACTCTGGACCCAGGGCAAAGGCCCAGGTGGGAGGTTTTCCCAGCATGCCCATGGTGTAGGTTGCTGGCACCTGGGGGACCTCATGACTCACCAGAAGCTGCTGCTTATCAGACCCATGGAGATCTTCCCTACTACTGAGCTTCAGGCTAGATCTGTAGGCCTCCTTTGAACCTGGATCTTGGACAAGCTGGGAAGAGAGAGGGAGAGCCAGAGCAAGGTTTTTCACGTGCAGTTTGACAATAGTAAAAGAATAGGCATACCAATTGCACAAGGCTCCCAAAAGGAAGGTTCTTGAAAAGAGACCGGGGTCTAATTAAGAGCTTATGCGAAGAGCTAGTGAGATCTACACTTCCTAACTAGGGGGGCTGAGAATTACGTCAGAGTGGCCTCTTAACAAATTAGAGGTAGTAGTTAGGATTGATTTGAGGGCTCCTGCACCGAGCTGGCTTCGTGGGCATGTGACCTGAGCAGGTACACAGGACCCTGACCTTGAGGTGTCTCAGGTTTGGTTTCATGCTCTGCCATTGCTGTCTTGAAATTCTCAACGGTTTTTGAACAAGGGAATCTGCATTTTCGTTTTTCAGTGGGTGCCACAAATTACGCTCTCGGTCCTGTCTGGAGCCAAGATGGACTTCTAATGAATAGGTTTAAGAGTCGCAAGTAGGAGTCTTCACCAGCATTGTCTAAGTGCTTCATTGGCACTGCAGAATATTTTTGCAGGGGTGAGTGTGAGTGTGTGTGTGTGTGTATTCTCCCAATATCTATGAACAGAAAAAGTATCTCAAAAGCTATTTGGATGTTTTGGGGATGGACAATATGTTGGTTACATCTATGTTGGATAAATCTGATATCGTACACGCACTGGAATAAAGTCCAAAGCTGAGTCTTCTAATTTGAATGGTCCTTCTCACTACAGATCTCCCCGGGTGTTTGCTGTTTCTGCACTGTACAGTCTTCTCCCACTAGAAATAAGCATTTTCCTTTTTTTTTGGTCCTGTCTTTTTCTTCCGTTAAGAGTTCAATTATAATTAATGTTGCCCTAAATATGAGTTTAAAACCCATGTGCAGGTTGGAGTCATAAAAACACAGAGACAGGGAAGAGACAGAGCCTTGCTTAGGTCCCCAGAATGAATTGTATAAACTATTACATTTTGCAATAAGTGGGGTTCCAGAGAGCACAGGTGCTTAGATCTGGTTCTTGGGAGATGCTGAGCACATCTCTGTGTGTGCATCTGTTGGTATGCTTGCCTGAGTGTGACTGTGAGAAGTGTACTCATTCATTTAATCAACAAATATTGACTGACAACCTACTATGTGGTAGACAGGAGGGATGAAAAGATGAATAAGATGCTTTTCTGGCCTTATGGAACTTAACTGTGCTAGTGAGGAAGACAGACCTTTGCACAGACGTAAAGAAACATAATCAGATCAATGACGGTGCTGTGCACAGAGCATATGGGACCACAGAGGAGGGGCACCTAATCCGCTTTGGCAAAAAGGTGTTGAGGAAGAGGCAGGAAAGGCTTCCTGGAGGAGTGAGAACTGGGTTGATTTTGAAAAGATAATGAGGAGTTAGGTGAAAACAAAATGCAGTTCAGAATGCAGAGAGTGCAACCTGAGAAAGTTCCAGAAGCCAGATACAAAGAGGTGTGTGTGTTGTCAAGCCACAAACAAGGCTCTCCTGCTGGAGCCCAGCACTTCAGATTGGGAGTGGGAGGGGAGGATTCTGGAGAGGTGGTCTAGGAGGCCGAGGTGTGGGCAGGGCCAGTTCACGGGGGACCTCCTGTCTCCCAGACTAAGTAGCTTGCATCCATCAGGAAGCTTCTGAAGAGGAAGTGGAGAAAGGACATGGGCAGACCTATTCTGGATAGATCTATCTTATTCTAAATACCTTATGTTGCCGGCTGTTTGGAAGACGGATTTGATGGCGCAGGACCAAGGCAACGGGACCAGGAAGGAAGCTGTTGCCATAATGTAGTTGGGAGAAGATTATGCCTGAGCTAGCCCAGTAGGAAGCTGCGGAGGAAGAGAGGGTTTTGAGAAATACATGGGAGGTGCTGTCTTTGGAACTTGGTGGCTACTAGCGTGTGCTGAGGAAGAGGAGGAAGAGTCAAACATGACTCCAGGTTTCTAGCATGAGTGATTAAGTGGATGCGGGTACCATTCCCTGGCAGAGAGATGACAGGAGGACGGTGTTCTGCATACACCCACCAGTTTATTAGCGGACTTCACTTGGATGTCACATAGGCATCTCAAATTCAGTAGGTCTTAAAATGGTGCTCTACGATATCTAAGGCACAAGCAATGAACTAAAAAATACACTAGTAGGACTGCATCAAACTGCACAGCAAAGGAAACCATCAACAAAATGAAAAGGTAACCTATAGAATGGGAGAAAGTATTTGCAAAGGACCCATCCAGTAAGGGGTTAATATCAAAACTATATAAGAAACTCAATAGCAAAAAGCAAAACCAAAAACAAACAGCCCCCACCAATAATCCAATTAAAAATGAACAAAGGACCTGAATAGTCATTTTTCCAAAGAAGATATTTAAATGGCCAACAGGTACATGAAAATGTGCTCAGCATCACTGATCATCAGGGCAATGCAAATCAAAACTCCAGTGAGATACCACCTCACACCAGTCAGAAGGGCCATCATCAAAAAGACAAGGGATAACAAATGGTGGCTAGAATGTGAAGAAAGGGAACCCTTGTGCGTGGGAATGTAAATTCACAGCCACCATGGAAAACAGTATGGAAGTTCCTCAAAAAATTAAAAATAGAACTACCATCTGATCCAGCAATTCCATTTCTGGGTGTATATCCAAAGGAAATAAAATCTCTGTCCTGAACAGATATGTGAATCCCTGTGTTCATTGTCGCATTATTTACGACAGCTAAGAAATGAAAACAACCTGGGTGTCCATCAAGGGATAGATGGATAAAGATGTGAATACACACACACTCACACACACACAGTGGAATACTATTCAGCCATAAAAAGAAGGAAATCTTGCCATTTGTGACAACATGGATGGACCTTGAGGGCATTATGCTGAGTGAAATAAGTCAGACAGAGAAAGACAAATACTGTGTGATCTCACTTATATGTGGAATCTAAGACAAACTCATAGAAACAGAGATCAGATTTTTGGTTGCCAGAGGTGGATGGTGGGGGATGTGGGGGAATTGGGTGAAAGTGGTCAAAAGGAGGGGCGCCTGGGTGGCTCAGTTGGTTAAGCGTCTGCCTTCGTTCATTCGTCTCAAGTCATGATGCCAGGGTCCCGGGATCGAGCCCCGTGTCGGGGGGGGCTTCCTGCTCAGCGGGGAGCCTGCTTCTCCCTCTCCCTCTGCCGCTCCCCCTGCTTGTGCTCTCTCACTCGTGCTCTCTCTCTCTCTCAAATAAATAAATAAAATATTTTTTTTAAAGTGGTCAAAAGGTATAAACTCCTAGTTAAAAGATAAAAAAATTCTGAAGATGTAATGTAGAGCATGATGACTCTAGTTAACAATATTGTATATTTGAAGGCAGCTATGAGAGTAGATCTTAAAAATTCTCATTACCAGGGAAAAAAATTTAGGGCTATATCAGGTGAATCATTTCACAATATATACATATGTCAAATCATTATGTTCTATACCTCAAACTTATATGATGTTATATGTCAAGTATATCTTAATAATACTGAAAAATAAAATAAAATGAACCACTGTCAACCCCCACTAACTTCTGTATTACCTAACTTGGTGACTATCCCAGCATGAGAAAGTGGAAAGTGCGTGAGTTTTGGAGTCATAGAGACTTAGATTTAAATTCTGACTCAGGCTGTCGTTAGCTGAATTACTCTTGTTGCTCCTTCCCTAACTATTTGACGTCACTGAGACCCAGCTCCGTGAGAGTCTGGTATCACCAGGCTGGGCCAATCCCAGACAAGGGAAGGGAAGCTGACTTCCTCCTCCCAGATCCGTAGGACATGCTGAGAGGGGAGTTCAGTTTGGTGGAGAGATGCTCTGGCCCAGTGCTGTCCCTTCTTCTGGGGCCCAGGGATCGCCCTGAGCCTTGTTCTTCTTGTAGGTGCCTTTGGGACATGCCTCTCTGAGCACAGAATGAGTACAGAAGTGCTCCCAGCCTTGGGGTGCCCGGCTGGCTCAGTCGAAAGAATGTGTGAGTCTCGATCTTGAGGTCATGAGTTTGAGTCCCATGTGGGGTGTAGAGATTACTTAAATAAATAAAACTTAAAAAAAGAAAAAGAAGTGATCCCAGTCTTAGAGTCTCTCCCACAGAGCAAGACTGAGGCTGGGAGCTGCTGGGGTATGCCCCTGACCTCCACAGTGAGCAGGCTTTCAGAGTTAACTGGTGTCCTTAGCCTCTTCCCACATGCCTGTCCCAGGGTCTGAAAAACATCTGTGTTGGTTATGGCCTAGTGAGTTAAACTCTCTGAACTTCAGTTTTCTTATCTGGAAAAGGGGGTTAATAACACCCATTAGCCAGGTTTGTTGTGAAGATTACATAAAGTAATATATGTAAAGTTACTTAGACAGTGTTTGGAACATGGAAGGAAGTCGATACATATTCATTCTCTTACCCTCTTCCTTTCCTTCCTCTCCATTGCCACCTGCTCCCAGATGCCAAGCCAGAAGCTGGGGAGTCCCCTAGCCTTCTTTCTCTCCCTCGCTCCCTAAAAATGATCAGATGTCAAGCCTGTCATGCCATCTCCCAGCCTCTTAGCTAAATTCAGGCCCTCCTCCATTTCCCACTTATTACTGCAGTAACCTATTAAATTATTCTCCCTACGCCCAGCCTCATCTCCTTCCAGCCCATCCTCCATGCTGTTGCTATTTCTAAAATGCAAATTTGATCATGTCTCTTTCCTGCTTAAAATTCTTCATTTGCTTCCCATCACCTTCAGGATAAAGTCCAATCTCTTTAGCATGTCACACACAGTCCTTTGTGATCTGGC